TTTTCTAAAATTTCCCTGTTATAAACAATATTACAGGGGGGGGTCTGTCTACAATTAACCCTATTTTTTTACTACAGTTTCAACCAACTTAAAACTAGTTTTGTTTCCTCAGACTTTATGCATTTGTCATGTAATGGCGAGGTAGGCTTGGATGGTCTGCTGCTTTGCAGGTCATGCACGCTTGCAGCCATTCCCTCATTTCGGATTAAAAGGGCAGATCTGAGCCTCTTCTTTTTGTTCGACTTCTCAATTTTTGCTCTTAAATAAAGCCCCAATCGCTGAAAAAATGAATGTCCTTCTGTGTACTTTTCAATGTGGTGCCTAAATGTTAAAATCATTATATTTCTTTGCAGGTAAGATAAGACGTTACGGTTTTATTCTGCAAGTTAGCTTTGTTGCTTTCTCTCCTTTAAAAGAACGAATAGGTAAATATGGTTTTCCCAATGAGCATATTTGTTCCTTTAACCTTTTGTGATGTGCATATTACAATGGCTGTGCATGTGTGCCGTACTTGGATGGTCTGCTACATTGCAGGCATCAATTGAAACCATTCATTGAAATGGAGTATATAAGTCCTCAGGGCTAATAATAATTATGATAATTTTGCGGCTTATTTGAAAATTATTTAGGATTTTGAGGGGTATATACGGAAATATATATTTATTCAATGACTGCACAAACTGCAAAACATGACAGTAGAAAAAGTGTGTTCTCTTCCCCTCCCCCTCTCTACCCTTCATCCAAACAGGCCATATGAAAAAAAACATTTCGTATTAGCCCCTCACATCTTCTTTATTTCTCTTCTCCATTCTCAGAGATGATGATGATGATGATTTTGTTGTCCTCTTTGGCGAGATATTTTGTTTGGTAACATTATGGCTCACTCAGGAAAGTTAGCCTTTTTGTTCTTTATCCCTCTCAAAATTGTGGTCAAGTTTAGCTTGCTCAATGAAAATGATTATTGAAACACAATTGATCCGTGTGACATTTTCTTTGTTAAGTATTTGTTTCCTTGAGCTTGTTATTTGCATTTTTTTTGGTTAATTACAGACATAGGTCATCTAACTCACAAACTCAACCCCTCGGATGTCATCTAATAAAATCTTACGGGGCTCCCTTAGCATATCATCTACCAAGGACAAGGAGTTCCTCTGGATCCTAGTAGCAGGATTTGATACAAAATTAGAAGCCCTATTGCCTTCTCTATAGATGTATTTTAGTCGAGTGTATAGAATTCAGCATGGCGCATGTCTCAATCAAAATCGTGGTGGTGTTGAGCTCAATACATCCACTGATCGCCTGCGCACAACTTTCCTTCAGGTAATGTTGAATAAATCTCACCAAGCCCCTTCCATATACAATGGCGAGGCTATGCTGAATGGTCGGCTACATAGTGGGTAACCATTGCAGTTGCTTATTCTTATAGAGAATATGAATTCCTAACGGCTTGTTCAGTTTTGAAGTGGTTTAAACTCTAGTTACTTTTAATTTGTAGTTACATGGTTTTAATGTCACTGCAAGTTTTTAGACTATTTTTAATGAGAGAAATGTATAACAAAGTCTAGTTTGAAGCAAAATACCATATATGTAAGAAAATTAACCAATACGGAAGGTAAGGTCTGTTACAAAGAAGAAAGTCAACATTCCAGATGATCTTATGATAGTAAGTGGTATTTTCTGATGATATATGATATTTCTCAATATGTGCGAGTTTGTTATAAATTCCTCACATAAAAATGTTTGTTGTATTTTGTGCAAAACCCCTAATAGTTCACGGTAAGTTTGTGAAATTGTGAAACCTGCTCTTTCACGCTCGCATCCAGTCATTCTTGCATCAAACTAGAGGCTGAATTTGTGGAGTCTAATCTATCTAGAAAAAGTAATGTAGCAATATAATTATTTTCTTTATTGCCATCGTTTCCTGAAATAATATGTTCTTTGTATTACATGATAAAATATTCCGTTCTCTGTATTATTATAAGATAACACAGCAATAATGGATTTGACTGATGCATTGCAGGCAACGTCGTAAAGGAAGATGGAGAGAGAGTTTGGTCCAGGACATGAGGACTCCACATTTCGAAGTTCACTGTCTTTTTTCCTTCCAAACTTTTAATCCTGAAACATGAATATTTTCTCTATGAGCTACACAGCGTGAAGTTTTTAGTTTTCCTTTTACGCCAAGTTTCTCTTCTCGCTGTGTGAAGTATGGTTGTGGGCTTAAACATGAATACTCTCTCTATGGTTGTGGCTTACACAGTGTGGGGTTTTTAGTTTTTCTTTTCCTCCCAAGTTTCTCTTCTTGCTGTGTAAAGCATGGTCGTGGCTTTTCCTGCGGCCTGAATAGCTCTTTTAGTTTTTACGAATGAAGTGTGTTTGAATATGGACTCGATTATATTGCCTCATAGATCCGGACCCACAGGAGGATCGGAGAATTTGTATCTGACAGCAAATTGAGCTAGGGTATGCGCACGGCTCTTTCCTGATGATCTTCTAATATGTTGTACACAAGTAGCTCTTAGTTTTATTGCTTTCATGTTTGGTCCCTCACGGCTTGCTCGTCTTTCTTTTTCCGTGTGGATTGTCTTCCATTTTCCGTACGGATGATGATTGCTATCTTTGTTGGCTTCGAGGAGTTTGGTGTCAAATTTACACAAATATTATTTTAGCTGGTTTTAGGAAAATGACTCAAGGACTCAAAATATGGGACCAAGGGCATATTTTGGGTTCCCGTAGCAACACTCCTGGTTTTATTATGTTCAGGCTATTGGCGGTTATGATGTTCCTTTGGCAAGGCATTATTGGATGGATTGTTTACTGCATTTCATTTCCTAGACCACCTTGCTGCATAAAGGAGAAGTGAGAAATACAATATAATTCACTGTAGGATGAGTTATAATCTCTGTAGTGTCTTCTGCAATTTGTAAGGGATTTCCTTATATATATAACTTTGCCTTCGTGTGTAAACTTTTTATTTGTGTGTATATCTGCCACTTCTACGTGTTCTATGATTCCATAAAATTATGGAAAGCCTTAATTCTTTTACCACCCAAAACCATAAATTATAATACACCATTAAACTGCTGTGTCTATGATACGTCAGTAGCAGAGCAAATCGCACCCAGTCCATCAGGATATATAAGCCTCTCATTTTATATTCACTATCATTACCGTATGTGCAAATGCTCGGGCGACCGACATTAAAAATTAATTATTCTAATTTTTATATGACGTTATTATTTTAATATCCTAAAGTATGGAATATTTCTAAGATTTTTTTATGATATTTATTTGATAGATCCTAGACATATTATTGAGAAGGGTCTATTCCATCTTCAGATTATTTTATTTAGTTTTTTAACCTAAGCATCTAGATGCACATTTTTTATAATATTTATATTGGAACATAATAAAATTTTCTAATAGTAGTTTTATTATATTTTTCTTACATGAAAAAGAACACCATCACTATCACACATCTCTTCTGATGATATGCAAGTGATAGATATTTAATTAGTAAGCTTCTATGACATGTTTTAGAATATTTTAGAAATAAACAAAGAGAAAAAAAACTACGTCAATTTACCAAATTGTCTTCATTTTTTTTTTCAAATTTTTACTACCTTCTCTATGCTTTTAATACAGTAGTATAGATGATATAACAAACCCCTTTTAATACCAAGCCACCCAAGTTATGTGGCCGGTCGAATTGAGCAAATTGTTTAATCAATTGAAGCTAACCAATAGCTATTCCTCTATGCTTAAAGAATGATCCAAAGACTTACTGTTTGTGCTACAATAGATACAAAACAGTAAATTATTATGGCATGAACAGTAAATCTTTGGGTCTTCCTTAAGCACTAATGTGCACTCCGTGCAAAGCATGACCCCTCTCGTTTTTTTAAACACCGCATTTTGAACTTGCATCCCTCTAAGTTTTAATATATTTGATTTAATTATTATATGCTTAAAATTAGAAATTATATCTACTCCTCTATATTTAAAGAAGGATCCAAGTTTTAATACATTTGATTTAGAAATCATATCTACTCCTCTATACGTAAAGAAATATCCAAGTTTTAATACATTTGATTTGTTTTACTCATAATACTATTTATGCTATAGTAAAACACTGTAGTATAAATAGTAACTTTAAATATGGAGGAGCAGATCTGATTTACTATTTATGCTACAATAATTTACTGTGTAGTGTATAAGACCAGGTTTGGTTTGTTGTTTATGCTTCTTCTTTAAGCATAGAGTTGTAGATAACATAGTAACTTTACTGTTTATGCTATAGCATTTTACTGTATTATAAACAGTACACTTTTAGGTATAGGGCAATAAATATAATTTCTAATTATAAACATACAATAATCAAATCAAATGTATTAAATCTTAGGTGAGACAGATTCAAAGTGCCATGCTTTAAAAAAACCAGAGGGCCGTGCTATGCACGGGTGCAAAACAGTGAGACTAATTATTTAACCGAAGAAATTTTCTAAACAAACTCATTCACATTTTTTTTAAATCGACCTTTTGAGTTTTTTTTATAAAAATCGACCCATTTTGATTAAACCCGATTCCTAAATAGTCGAGGTTGCTAACCCCGACTATTTAGTGCATAGAATGTTAGGGTTTAAGGTTGTAATTGGGGTTTTACAACCTCCTAAAATAGTCGGGGTTGGCAACCCCGACTATTTAGGAACTATATTAAATTAAAATAGATCGATTTTTGTAAAAAAAAACTTAAAAAGATCGATTTTAAAAAAAATAAATATGAATGAGTTTATCTAGAGAATCTCTTCTTATTTAACCCGACATCTGCAGCTCCGGTCATCTAAAGCGGTGTCGCATGCGCCATCGCGGTCCTCCATCGCTTCGTTCGAAAATGTCGGGCTCCACTTCTCTCTCTCTTATGTTGGGTTTTGGATTATTTTCTCTCGATCTCCTCACTATTAAACGACGGTCTTCCCAAAGCATTCTCTCCCTCCTTCAAAAACCCTAATCAAGGATTTGCAATTTGCATTAATTTCTCTTCTCCCTTCTCTATATAAGAAAGAGACGATGATGATTTGCCCTCCTCCTCGGCGAGATCTAGGGTTTTTCCTCCGATCGGTCTGTTTGGTTGGTTTCCATTACTATTATTATTGTTATTATTATTATTATTATTTGCTTTTATTGAAAAAAGATCATCCGCGCAACGCGCGTGTCTGAAACTAGTTACCCTTTAGATCTGCATATATTTCCAATGGCGAGGCATTTGTTGCAGCCATTTCGGCATATATATATATTTTTTGGTTGCAGATGGGGAGATATGAAATTAGGGTTTGGGTTTAGGCCCTTTTATCGCCCTTTTTGTGATGTCTGGTTAAAGGGCTGATCTGAGTCTCTTTTTAGCTCCTGGTTGAAGATACCTGATGCTTTAGGGGCTGTATGGTGGTTGTTGGTAAAGTTGTGTATTTATGACACAACTTGGAAAGTTGTTGTCCACCTCATCAATTTCACTTTTATACTTTTCTTTGTTTGTTTTTTATTCCATTGGAATCATAAATTGCTTGTTTGGTTTGTAAATGTACCTTTAATTGTTTGTTTGAAAAGTGTAAAAAGTGGTCCCTACTCAAATGATCATAATGGTTGAAATTATTTTTTATTATTTTTTCCTGATTTTAATGTCAGCTTTCTTCTAAAATCATGTTTTTTTTATGAAATCACTTTACAAGCCACATCAGCATATGGAATCACTTTACATTATTTTCACAACTACACACAAACAATTGAAAGTGATGAAAGCTGACATTGGGACCCATTTTTTTACACTTTCCATCCTTTTACATGGTAAAAACATACAACCAAACAGCCCCTTAGAATCGCCCGATAGCTGCTACGGATGCTCTTTGTCAAAAATTGGGTGGAAAAAGTAAAGAGTTAATGGTTTCTTCTACAATTCAGCTAATTTCTGATTAGCATTTTTCTCTCCCTCCTTCAAAGCAACAGAGAGGAGGGGGGAGAAAACCCTAATCAAGGATTTGCAATTTGCATTAATTTCTCTTCTCCCTTCTCTATATAAGAGACGATGATGATTTGCCCTCCTTGGCGAGATCTAGGGTTTTCCTCCGATCGGTCTGTTTGGTTGGTTTCCATTACTGTTATTGTTGTTATTATTATTATTATTTGCTTTTATTGAAAAAAGATCATCAGCGCAACGCGCATGTCTGAAACTAGTTACCCTTTAGATCTGCATATATTTCCAATGGCGAGGCATTTGTTGCAGCCATTTCGGCATTTTTTTTTTTGGTTGCAGATGGGGAGATATGAAATTAGGGTTTGGGTTTAGGCCCTTATATCGCCCTGTTTGTGATGTCTGGTTAAAGGGCTGATCTGAGTCTCTTTTTAGCTCCTGGTTGAAGGTACCTGATGCTTTTAGAATCGGCCGATAGCGCCGCGTATGTGGGACGGCATCTTCGTCAAAAATTGGGCGGAAAAAGTAAAGAGTTAATGGTTTCTTCTACAATTCAGCTAATTTCTGATTAACGTTTTTCTTTAGGTGAGAGAATGGAAGGGAGTTCATTTCCCCTTGGTTACACCCTAATTTGAGGGGTAACAAATTTTATACTATTAGGAGGTGAACCAAGGGGAACTAGGGTGAATAACTTCACCTCCTAAATGTTCCCAAACAAGGTGAATGGTTCCCCTAACTTCCCTTCACCCTTATTCCCCTCAATCCAAACAAGCCCTATTGTCTCGCCAAAGGAAATGTTGACCGGGTCACTTAAAAAAGGAAAAAAAAGAAGAAAAGACAGAAATTGCCCAAGTAAAATGAGTGCGGTATGATTAGTCCATGAGAACCTCGATGATGATGATGATGATGATGATGATGATTATGATTATTATTATTATTTTGCATACTACAGTGGCGAGGCAATTGTGAATGGTTTGGTTAGGCAACAACCATCTTGTTGCAGCCATTTGTTAATATTGCAAAGAATTTTGGACAGTTTATGGCAGGTTGGTAGCAAAGATCCAAAGTTCCTGGTGTTTTTGGGGGTGTTTGGTTCAATTTCTATAAATTATAGGAAAAAGAAAACACCCAAAATATAGATTTCCTTGTATTTTTGTAAAATTTGTAGGAAAAATTTATAGAACTCAAAGAGTACCATATTTCTTTTTTTTTGCTATTTCTTTGTCTGGTTCAAAGTATGAAAAAGTTCCTAACTTTATAGAAAATATGTTGTTTTCTTTTTCTTTTGTTTGGTTAGATGTCACTTTATAGAAAACAACTTACTAACAATGCCCATGAGAAATCACATGGGAACGGTACTGGTGTATTTAATTAATTTTTTAATATATGCCTCAGATTTCCTGGTGTTTTCCGCCCATTTTTAGTGAAAAACAATTTGTGTAAAATTGTACAGATTTCTGTACTTTACAGAAAGCTTTTCTGTAAATTCAATGTTGAACCAAACACAGTTTATGAAAATCTACAAAAATCTATTATTTACGATAACACCATTGTCAGGTGTTTTCTCAAAACTTTTCCATAAAATAGGTGAACCTCGGGGAAGTTTAACCTTATTTATTTGTTTATTTTATGATGATTTTTCTTGCTTCTGAAGCATGAGTGATGCCTTTTGAATAGGGGTGCAAACGGATCGGATACGACTTGGATATGATGCTTACCGTATCCATGTACGGATATGAATATGTTTCGGTAAGGAACACTCATATCGTGTCCGCCAAATTGGATACAGTTATGGATATATGTGCAGATATATCTTTGAATATACATGCAGATTCAAAACGAATATCAAGAAAATTATATGAGGTTGGAAAAAACATAATTCATATGATAGTGAGTCCATTAATAAGTTTATTAGATGAAAAGCTAAGATTAGATCTCGAGATCATCAAATTAACTTCAAATTCATCAACCAAAGGATCAAAGCAATCACAACTATATGATCAACATAAATTTGGATATTTCAGTTATGGATCTGGATATTTCACTTTATAACCGCATCCGTAATCATATATCGGATATTTCAGTTATGAGATCTAGGAATCTTTTTTCCTATGGGGCTGTTTGGTTTTTTTTTTCTAATATCCCAATCTGCTTTCAGTATTTTTTGGGTTTTTTTTTGCTTATATACCCCTCAAATCTATAATATTTCAAAATTTTCCTTTCTAAATCTGCATGTATTACCAATGGTGAGGCATTTTTGCAGCCATTTTGGTGTTTTCTGCAGATCAAAAAGGCGGGAGAGATGGACTTAGGTTGAGGGTTTGGGTTTATTTCCCTTTGGTATGTCTGATTAAAGGTCTGGTCTGAGTCTCTAATCATGGATTGAAGAAATATATGCGTGTTTGAACACAGTAGAATTTGTGGCTCGTTCAGGATGTTCACACTATTTTTCTATGATTTCCCACATGAAAGGATAAAAAACAAACATAATTGCGGTTTTTGTGCATAAATGAGGTAAATTTTTATGTTCTACAATGTTGGCTAATTTGACATTTAGCAATTTTGCTGCAGGCAGTGATCTGCCCAAGGAAAATGATCGGAGTAAGATGATTAGTCCTCAAGAAGCTTGTTAATTTTTACATACTACAGTGCAAGGTAATTGTAGATAGTTTGCTATATCATAGAAGTCGGGAATGTAGGAACCACGACCCGGGTTCAATCATCCTTGCTTCATGGTGGAACGTGACCCAATTTACCAACTCCAACGACCGAATTTAAAATTCAAACCAACTAAAAGTTTGAAAAAAAAAACTCTTCTTTTCAAGACTAAACAACAAAAAATGTGAGAAATTAAGCAAATAAAGTATGCATACCTTAATTGCAAACATGATTCAAGGTTCTTTTACCATCACCAATATCAACTAGCATATTTCTTAAATTTGACTCTTGCAAAACCTCTTACTACATCTAAGAACTGAACCTAAAATGTACCACGCTCTGTGGCATATCGTATAAGCCTACCCCACGTACCTGATTTCCAATGAGTGGCATACTGCACTCCCATACCTGTCCTGTGAACCAAAATGAACCGAGTTCCATGCAATTATGTGCTATATTGCAAACAACCATTTTTGCAGCTATTATTAGCAGGATTGTTTTCAATATTGGTCCCCTAAATCTTTCATATTTTGAAAATTTCCCCAAAGTCTGGCTATTTAATACCCAAATCCTATAATCGATTGGGCTAATTGTGGATAGACCTGTTATCGCAGTATAGCACAATTGTGGATGGACCCCTTATAGTTTGATTGTTGCAGATAGACCCACTGAGTGAAGTTTTTTCGGTTTAGTGGCTGTTTGGTTGTTGGATTTGTATCTTGGATTTGTGATATGTTTAAGGGTTTGCATAATTTCTCTTCTCCCTTATAAGAGAGGGTGATGCTTTGCCCCTTGTGCAACATCTAGGGTTTTTTTGCCTAGATCAAAAAACCTATTTACCTTTTGGCTGATTAGCACTTAAATACCTTATAGTTTACCCTATTTTGCACTTGTTTTGTGGTTTTCTGCCTATATACCCCTCATTTGTTTCGTGTTTTTCAATTCACCTGAAAATCTGCATAGATTTCTAATGGCGAGGTACTATTGCAGCCATTTGGTAATTTCTTTAAGAGGGGGAGAAGGAGAAAGAGATGATATTAGGGTTGGGGTTAGGGCTTAGGTTTATCCTCTTTTGTTTTGTATGGTTAAAGTGCTAATCTGAGTCTCGTACTCTTGGTTGAAGAGATATATGAATTGATGGCTCCTTCTGGAAGTTCAAAGTATTTTTCTTTGATTTCCTACATGAAAGGATCAAAAGATAAAAATGAAAATTTTATGTGCAAACGAAGTAAGATTTTATGGCATTCTTGTGTAATTTTAGCTAAGTTGTGATTAGCAATTATCTTCTTTGTCGCGGGTAGTGATCTGCTGAAGGAAAATGATTGGGGTAAGACGATAATCCTTAAGAAGCTTGGTAACATACAAACTATAACATACGACAGTGGCAAGGCAATCTTGGATGGATTGCTATATTGCAGACAAACCATTTTTAGTTAGTAGGTCTTTTTCTATATTGGTCCTTTAAATCATTCATATTTTGAAATTAGCCCTGAAATCTTACTATTTAGTCTGTAAGTCCTATAATTAATTGCGCTAATTGCGGCCAGACCCTGTATTATTGCCCAATTGTGGATAGACCCCCTGTCGTATTGTTGTAGATGGACCCCCTGAATGAATTTTTTTTTTTTTCAGTTTAAGGGCTGTTTGGCTGTTGGATTTGTATTTTGGGTTTATGAAAATAATTGAAGGGTCTTTCCATGAAAACCACCTTTAAAATAGACCAAATGGACAGAAACTAGATCTGATTTTTTTTTTTAAATATAGAAACCACCTTATAAGTGGAATTAGATTTGTGACAAAAATTTAAGGATTTGCATTATTTTACTTTCTCACTTCTAAGAGACAATGATGATCTGCCCCTTTCTGTGACATCCTGTTTTTTGCATAAACCGAAACCCTATTTACTTTTTGGCTGATTAGCACTTAAATACCTTATAGTTTACCCTACCTTGCACTTATTATTGGGGGATTTTCTGCCTATATATGCCTCAATTGCATCGTATTTTTAAATTCACCCTTCATATCTGCATGTATTTCCAATGGCGAGGCACTGTTGCAGCTATTTGGTCATTTTTGCAGAAGAGGGAGAGAGGAAAAAGAGAGAGATGATATTAGGGTCATGGTTTGGGTTTGTCCCCCTTTGTTATGTCTGATTAAAAGGGCTGATCTGAGTCTCTAAGCTATTAGTTGAATAGATCTCTACATTTATGACTCGTTAGAAAGTTCACAATATTTTTATTTGGTTTCTTTGAAAGACAAATATTTTGTTCGTGCTCGCACTGGTGAG